ACACGAAACGGATCATATATATCAGTTTAATAAAAGTATTTGAATGTTAAAGTTAACATTGTAATTTTTATGAATATGTGGACTTATTAAACAATTTGGAGACTACTGAAAAGCATAGAAAATATAGTAATGGATTGAAAAGCTTTGAATTCTCAGCTTACGATTACACATTTTAATATATTTGTATGAATGAGCAAGGTGAGTAAGCTGGGAAATCAAAGCTTTTCAATCCATTACTATATTTTCTATGCTTTTCAGTTGTTTCCAAATTGTTTAATAAGTTCACATATTAAAAATGGTACTAATAGTACTAGAATCTACTAGTACTAGAACATACTAAACTATAATAATAACCTAGGGCACATATTGGAGTAATAACCCAGTCTCCCCAATTTCTAGAATACACTAGATATTAAATTCGTGCAAATTAAAGTATTTTTGCATAATTATTTTATTGTAGATTAAGGTATAATATTAATATTTTATTATTATTATTATATAGAGTTTAACATTAAGAGAGAGAGAGAGAGAGAGTAATAAAAATAGATTATACTTAAGTATAAGAGATGTCACGCCCTCTACATTGTCTATACATTGGGTGTGCACTGCATTCACAGACTCACAGACTGTAAACAACACAAAAAAGTGACAGATAACTTTTTGTTAACTAACAATATAATTTTTGTTACTAACCAGCTTGTTATTAATAGTGTAAGCACAGTTTTATCACAAATTATATTTTTATCATAGATACGTGAATAATATATAACTACCATCCATAGTGACGTTAAGTAATAATATTTTCAAATAAATAAAGCACCACGTTCAAATATTTGAACAATTATTGTCTGTATACTGGTATACAACTTATTATTAAAAGGTATTATTATAATTATAATTATTATCATTATATACTGTATCTGTATACTGTCCAATTGCTATAGATACAAGGTGATTTGCAAAAAGAGTAAGCTATGGATCGAGCACACATATCTAAGTTGGACATTAGCTTGGACAATCAGAAACAACACTATCTGGCTGGCGATAAAGTATCTGGCTTATTACAATTGACAATACTAGGGCCGGAAGGTGCGCCCTACCCGCGCATAGGGCTGGTATGTGTGGCCGAATCCAAATGGGTTGAGAGCGCCGGCACTTACTTCCACCGCGAGG